AATTTATATAAAATAAAATTAATTTTGTATTTGTTGTTATATTTACGCTCTATAAAGAGAAAGAGAGACAGAGTTTCAAATTGTTACTGCCACTCTTAAGGATGTAAAGTCAAATTTTTATATTCTTAACTTTTCTTTTGTATTGATTTTCCATTATTTCACATTTATTACTTGGTACGCGTGCGTTAAATGAAAATATCGTTATGCGCATAATCAAAACGATATCTTCAATACACGTATGTATCAGTAAAATATTTATATAAAAAGACTAAAGAGAGATGTTAAGAAAAAAAGGCCATCTAGTTCCGATGAATATTAAAATACGAAAATTTTGATTGTAATTTGTATCTAATACAAAATAAGGAATCAAAAAATATGTACTGTATTGTGCACAAATTGCATCTCTCTCGCATATATATAGGGTGTCCCACTAAAAGTGGTTATCCCTTTTTATCTTTTAAACTAAAAGAGATAGACCGTAACAAATATATATCAAATTAAATGTTTCAAAGTAAACTCTATTGTGAGCATAGTGGTTGCTTCCAAAAGCTATCTATGTTAACGAATGGAGAGATAACTTTTCATTTTCGGTCCTGCGATATGACCAACTTCGGATTGAGTATTATGATCAAATGTCAACATGACCATAAAGGAAAAGTAAGGAGAGTTATCTATCTAGATTGGAAATGGTCACGACTCTTCTTTCGTGAACATGAAATATGTGAATCTCTAATGCAAGAGTCAGAAGTTGGCCACAACGCAGGGCAGAAAGTGAAAAGATAGACGTCACCCGCGATATTTCAAGTTGATAAAACTCATATAATATAGAAAATATTTACATTATATTATATATCATTGTATTCCTTTCAAACAGCGCTACAACTTTTTTCATGTCAAGAAATTCATATTATTATAAAAAAAATATGCATCCTTATTCGTTTTTTAACACAGATAGCTTTTGGAAGCAACTACTATGCTCACAATAGAGTTCAATTTGAATCATTTAATTTGATATATATTTGTTACTGTCTATCTTTTTTAGTTTAAAAGCACGATAAAAAGGGGTGGCCACTTTCGGTGGGACACTATGTATATACATATATTTATTTTTTTATTAAATATAAATGGCATTCTCGATTTTATTTTTATTTCAGAATAATATGTTTTCTTTTAGCTAAAAACACTTTATTGTATTACATAATATGCGTGCGCAGTAAAAATTTCCAGGTGTACCTGATTAGATGCTTGTGTCGTATAACGATCGCAGATAGACTTTTTTTAAATTTCGAGGAAGATATGGATTTGTTGCTTAATCCGTCAATTAAATTGTTGAGCGTGCTTCGTAGGTTTATTAGTTGTGCACACATATGAAACACGAGTATCGAGATGAAACTGTCGACGCCACAGGTACTGAGAATTGCATACGAGCTACTGCAGACTTGAATAAAACAGGTGATTTCATAATTCGGACTCTTTTGAATGTAATCGAACCGATACACAAGATGACGTCGAGGCTGGTGTATGTTTCGTATGACAGGCCCAAGACGAACAAAATAAATAAATAGAATTGTGCATATTGCAGTTGTGAAATATCCAAAAGATAAATTTCTGCCATTTTTTGCTAGCTTCAACATTGTACTTCGTTCCCAATTGCTCTTCGAAGTTGCCCAATCAGTCATAACCGATGCTATTAGTATTCGAAGTTCTTTTAAATTAAACATGACTATATTATTACTAGTATAAATGTAAACTGGCAGAGTAAGTTATTTTTATATAAAAAGAACTATAATACAATAGCAGTCTTAGACTTTAATAAGAAAAATTCAACATTAACATTTATATTACTTATGATAAATACAAATCTACCTAGTATTTTTATTTCTGTAAAATGATAACTTACTCTCGCCGTGATATCTGGTATAAATCAGCTTCCACAATGTCAATGTCAAGAAGAAATTGACGAGGACAAAGGCATCCATCATTCGAGTCATGTTACCCCAAGCACGGATCAGATTTATTATTTGCGGGATGACTCCATAAACACTCATAATACAAATAGCTATTATGAGTCTTATGCTTTTCCAACGAAAATCATTTAAAGAGATTTGTGGATCGGGCCATATGCCAACTAGCCGCAAACATTGGCGGCTCAAGTTAAATGCGTAATTTAAATCTAATAAATTATTCATATTTGTTGTTATATTTACGCTCCATAAAGAGAAAGAGAGACAGAGTTTCAAATTGTTACTGCCACTCTTAAGGATGTAAAGTCAAATTTTTATATTCTTAACTTTTCTTTTGTATTGATTTTCCATTATTTCACATTTATTACTTGGTACGCGTGCGTTAAATGAAAATATTGTTATGCGCATAATCAAAACGATATCTTCAATACACGTATATATCAGTAAAATATTTATATAAAAAGACAAAAAAGAGATGTTAAGAAAAAAAAGGCCATCTAGTTCCGATGAATATTAAAATACGAAAATTTTGATTGTAATATGTGTTGAATACAAAAGTAAAGAATCAAAATTTGTACTGTATTGTGCACAAATACCATCTCTCTCGCATATATACAAGGTGTCCCACTAAAAAACTGGTTATCCTCTTTTATCTTTTAAACTAAAAGAGGTAGACCGTAACAAATATATATCAAATTAAATGTTTCAAAGTAAACTCTATTGTGAGCATAGTGGTTGCTTCCAAAAGCTATCTATGTTAACAAATGGAAAGATATGCATATTTTTTTTATAATAATGTGAATATTTCGACATGAAAAGTTGTAGCGCTGTTTGAAACGAATCCAACCATGTATGATATAATGTAAATATTTTACATATTATACGAGTTTTATCAACTTGAAATATCGCGGGTGACATCTAACTTTTCATTTTCGGTCCTGCGATATGACCAACTTCGGATTGAGTATTATGATCAAATGACAACATGACCATGAAGGAAGAGTAAGGAGAGTTATCTATCTAGATTGGAAATGGTCACGACTCTTCCTTCATGAACATGACATATGTGAATCTCTAATGCAAGAGTCAGAAGTTGGCCACAATGCAGGGCAGAAAGTGAAAAGATAGACGTCACCCGCGATATTTCAAGTCGATAAAATTCGTATAGTATGTAAAATATTTACATTATATCATACATGGTTGGATTCGTTTCAAACAGCGCTACAACTTTTCATGTCGAAATATTCACATTATTATAAAAAAAATATGCATATCTTTCCATTTGTTAACATAGATAGCTTTTGGAAGCAACCACTATGCTCACAATAGAGTTTACTTTGAAACATTTAATTTGATATATATTTGTTACGGTCTACCTCTTTTAGTTTAAAAGATAAAAGAGGATAATCAGTTTTTTAGTGGGACACCTTGTATATATGCGAGAGAGATGGTATTTGTGCACAATACAGTACAAATTTTGATTCTTTACTTTTGTATTCAACACATATTACAATCAAAATTTTCGTATTTTAATATTCATCGGAACTAGATGGCCTTTTTTTTCTTAACATCTCTTTTTTGTCTTTTTATATAAATATTTTACTGATATATACGTGTATTGAAGATATCGTTTTGATTATGCGCATAACGATATTTTCATTTAACGCACGCGTACCAAGTAATAAATGTGAAATAATGGAAAATCAATACAAAAGAAAAGTTAAGAATATAAAAATTTGACTTTACATCCTTAAGAGTGGCAGTAACAATTTGAAACTCTGTCTCTCTTTCTCTTTATGGAGCGTAAATATAACAACAAATATAAAATTAATTTTGTTTTATATAAATTCAAAATTCCAAATATAACATTCTTTAAAGATTCCTA